GGGGAGACGGAGCAGACGGTGTTTTTCCACTACATGTTTTTAGATGACATCCCATCAACACCAATGCCATCACCATCACCATAACATACAATTTTCCTGCCATTTTTCTCACAATTGATATATAAAATTCAAAAGTAAGATTGATTATTTGCTGTTTGTGGTTTGATTTGGTTTGTTGTGAGTGTGTCATATATATATCAAATTATATTGTTTCTACTATATATTTGGAAAGTACAATTATTATTTTGGTTTGAATTGACTAAAACTTTAAATACTTTTCTTTATATTTTGATCTCATTTCTTATATAATTTACCAAATTGTTGACTGGAAATAATATAATATTTTTAACATGTTGACCAAGGGAAATTTAATATGGCAAGGGAAATTTTATATAATTTACCAAGATATTAATTGGAAATAATATAATATTCTTAAGATGTTGACCAAAAGAAATTTAATTTCAAGTGAGGGTTTTAATGGACCGGTTTGTAGAAGTCCAAATTAAAAATGTCCACCAGATCAGTATGACTTCAAAAAAAAACCTGGATTAGTATGATGTGGACCGACTTGTTTGATACTAGCTAGTTCAATCAGACCGAGGCACATAGAAATTCTTTAGCTCAGTTTGGTTCACAAATAAAATTTCGTGTAATGCAAATAAAAGCTTCATCACAACGCATGTTTAGACAAATGGTTCCTCACGTCTCGTAAGAAAGTATGCCCCTTGTCATGTGCCAATCTCCTTGCTGAGGATGCCTTTTTGTGACATTAGTCTTGTGAGTTTTGCTTTAACTCTTAACACTCTGAAGACTGTGAAGACACCTAATTCAATAGTTCTTCACAACAGATTTGAACCATTAAGGCCAAATGGGCAGCAATCCTAACGATGTCACTTGTTTCGTAGATTATGCACTTAATTAGGCAAATCTATAAATAAAAATTCCATGACTATAAAGTGTAGTCTTTTGCTATCGTTGAATGTAATGAAGGGTATGATAAAATACAAGTAAACCATTCGTTTTCAAATTATTATCCAAAGAGAAGATTTTAATTCGTAGTCTCTTCCATGGTGGTTTCTCTATAATGGTGGTGTTTCCGAAAGAACACAAAAGTCATCATGATTTCTTCATAAAAAATATAGCAAGATAACAAAACAGGAGACGCCATATATAAGTTGTATTCGACGGAAGGTGAGTATTAGTGACCAACAGAAGAAGACTGCCTGACAATTTTTAACTGTCTTCCAAATTTTCTTGTCTAAGAAATGTTTACAATTTTCATTCGTAAATCAGTGGGTTGTCTAACACCAACTTTTCATTGGTAAGTGATTAAGATTTAAATAATCCAAATGAACAATAAAATATATGGTTCCAAGTTTAGGTCTTATTTTGCAAATTATAATTGTATAACACCAACACACGGCAACACCCGTTGTATTTTGCAATTCATAATTGTATAACACCAACTCCAATTATACAATTGTTCTTCACAACACCAAGAGCTAAAAACGTTCTAGTTAACTTTTGACAGAAATCATGTTTAGCTTTTAAATCATGTCTTTGATTAATTATTTATCGAAAATATATTGATATAAAATCTCATGGTATGACATGAGAAACATAGATCATAATAGAAATGACAAGTTTATATGAGAATTAGAAAAGAACTAACTGGGGCATTTCCCCATACACTCGAGCACAAGCTTCAGTATGGCCACATTCATCGACACATTTTGTGTAACAGCGACCGAATCCGGGTGTTGCTGTCATTATTGCTTCCTTCCTTAATTTTGTATATCATCAAAATCACATATATCATCTGTATTGGGTGCAATTAGTCTTTTTTTCAGGTGTAAGAGTTTTGTTTCTCATAATGATTCAATATTGTTAGTGGAAGATGGTGAAAAAAGTGATAAATAGAGAATCTCATGACTAGAAAATTTAGTCTTTAATTTGCTATCGTTGAATGTAACGAAACAGTGATTAAATACAAGCAAAATCGTTCGTTTCGAAAGAGAAGAATTTTGTAGCCTCTTCCATGGTGGTTTCTCTATAATGGTTGTTGTTTCAGAAAAAGAAAAAAAGTCATCATGATTTGTTCCAAAAAGAAGGTATGCCAGAATTTGTATTCGAGGGAAGGAAATTGTTGGTAATCAAACAGAAGAAAACTACCTACCTAACGGCCCCAAAAAAACACCACTAATAGTACTTGTATAAAAGGTAGAAAACCATCCATCATCAAATTCTGAAGATGCCATTGGATATCTTTTAGTTATACAATAACCGATTTGAAATTTATTACTTATACATATTCGTCTTAGAAATGTGGTCTTAGAAATATGGAAAACTTTTCATTGGTAGATTAGGGGTATTCAATAAATAGATTTAGAAGAATTCAAATGAAGAATACATATATACATATGATTCCAAATCCATGTGTTAGTTTGTGAACTGTTATTGTAATAGTATTTGTATATTGCATTCATCCAAGCATCAAGAGCCAAAACCGTTTTAGTTGGCTTATTGACAAAAATGTATGTTGTATAACTTCAAAATTATAAGTCTTTTTATTAATTATTTGACAAAAAATATATTGATATAAAATCTCAAAGTATGGCATGAGAAACATTAATCATAATAGAAGTGACAAATTTGTATGAGAATTAAAAATAATAATTATTACTTGCATTTTTTCAGACATTCTTTTATACAAATTAAGCTGCCAGTGCAGTGTTTGGCACATGTTGTGTAACAGGATCCTCCTAGACTTACTTTTGCTTCGTCCCTTAAGAGTTAAGAAGACCAAATCACATATATTAATATTAATTAAGGAAATAATTTAAAAAGAATATACAGACATAAAGTGTACATACTTTTGGGGGCTGTTGCATCTCTTTATACAACCTTGGTAACAAGTCTGGTCATGAATGCATCGTTTGGCACACTCTTCAGAACAATATTGACTGGGTTTAGGAGACTGAACAGACTGTATTTCTCCACTACATGTTTTTAGATGACATTCCAGTAACACTAATGCCATCACCATCACCACAATATACATTTTTCCTGCCATTTTTTCTTAACTAAACTCAAAAGTAAGATTGATTATTTGTTGTATATAGTTTGATTCGATCTGTTGTGAGTGTGTGTCTTATATATAATATTGAATTATATTGTTCTTACTATATATTTGAAAAGTTTATTATTCTGGTTTGAATTGACTAAAACTTCAATTCTTTTTGTTTGAATAATAGATGTTGACAGGAAATAATATTATATTTATATTATAGAAAAAAGAAAGATGTTGACCAAGAAAATATAATTTCCAAGTAGTGTTCGAGTTAGACATGTAGCTAAAGACTTGGCCTCTAACGAATCGGCTTGAAGCAATCCAAAAAAATGTCCACCGGATCAGTTGGACGTGGACCGACTTGTTTGATACTAGCTAGTTCAATCAGCACCGAGCATGTGCCCATACAAAATCTCTGAATACCATTTATATAACACATAATTTCTTGAACTCAGTTTGGTTCAAATGAAAATTTCGTGACATGCTAACAAAAGCTTCACAAAGCATGTTTAGACAAATGGTTCCTCACGTCTCGTAAGAAGGTTTGCCCCTTGTCATGTGCCAATCTCCTTACTGAGGATGCCTTTTTGTGACATTAGTCTTGTGAGTTTTGCTTTAACTCTTAACACTCTGAAAACTGTGAAGACACCTAATTCAATAGTTCTTCACAACAGATTTGAACCATTGAGGCCAAGTGGGCAGCAATCCTAACGGTGTCACTTGTCTCACATACTATGCACTTAGTTAGGCAAATCTATATAAAAAAAAAATCCATGACTATTAAATGTAGTCATTTGCTATCGTTGAATGTAATGAAGGGTATGATAAAATACAAGTAAAATAATTCGTTTTCAAATTATTATCCAAAGAGAAGATTATAATTTGTAGTCTCTTCCATGGTGGTTTCTCTATAATGGTGGTGTTTCTGAAAGAAAACAAAAGTCATCATGATTTGTTCATAGAAAATAGCAAAATTACATAACAAGAGACGCCATATATAAGTTGTATTCGACGGAAGGTGAGTACTAGTGACCAACAGAAGAAAACTGCCTGACGATTTTTAAATGTCTTCCAAATTTTCTTGTCTTAGAAATGTTTACAACTTTTCATTCGTAAATTAGTGGGTTGACTAACACCAACTTTTCATTGGTAAGTGACTGAATTTAAAATAATCCAAATGAACAACAACTATATGGTTCCAAGTTTATGTCTTATTTTGCAAACTGCAATTGTATAACATCAACACCGACTGTATTTTGCAATTCATAATTGTATAACACCAACACCATTATACAATTGTTCTTCACAACACCAAGAGCTAATAAAGTTCTAGTTGACTTTTGACAGAAATATCATAAGCGTTTGATTAAATATCATAATGCCCAAACAAATGGATCTATAGAAATGGGCCGATACTTTCTAAGCCCATTATCTACTAACATCGTGTAGAGAGGGTAAATCGAAGAGGGGTATTTAAATGACTAATTAGGGTTTTTCTCCTTCTTCTCTCTCAGACTCTCACAACTTCACCAGTCGTTCAAAGCTATTCGAAGTCGTTTCAGATCTGAGCTACACTAGCAATACCTCAACATGGTTCGTCATCTGCACTCTCTCTTTCTCTCTGTTCTGAGTTTAGATTTTGGTTACATCTAGATTGTTTCTTAACTAGGTTCTCGATTCTGGGTGCTTGTGTTAGTCAATTAGAGAATGGTTTAGTTAGTTTCGGAGCTATTGAATTGATTCGATGAATTGTTGATATTAATTTTTATACGTACACGGCTATAATCTTCTTTAGATCTGACCTCCTTAGCTCTCAAATGTGTTGCTTCTCGAGCTCATATAATGTGATTTATGGCATTTGACTCTCTTCACTATACAACTCTAATATTTGTATGTGTTAATTCTGCAGGCGAGAGGTTTGAAGAAGCATATGAAGAGGCTTAATGCCCCTAAGCATTGGATGCTTGACAAACTTGGTGGTGCATTCGTACGTCCTTTGCTCTCTTCTCAGCTCATTTTTGATGCAACATCTGTGTTTTTTTTTTGTGTTTTGTGAAATGATAATGATGATGTTCGTATTGGTTCCACACAGGCCCCGAAGCCATCATCTGGACCACACAAGTCTAGGGAGTGCCTTCCGCTTGTTCTTATCCTCAGGAACAGGTTGAAGTATGCTCTTACCTACCGTGAAGTGATTTCCATCTTGATGCAAAGGCATATCCAAGTTGATGGTAAAGTGAGGACTGACAAGACCTACCCTGCTGGTTTCATGGATATTGTGTCTATCCCAAAGACAAACGAGAACTTCCGTCTTCTCTACGATACCAAGGGACGTTTCCGTCTACACTCCGTCAAGGATGAGGAAGCCAAGGTTTGTTCTCCTCTTGCTATCTTTATAGTAATGTTCGCTTGACATGTATGCGTACCAAGATTTGTCTCTCTATCTCTTTCTACAGTTTAAGCTTTGCAAAGTCCGTTCTATCCAGTTTGGGCAGAAGGGGATTCCTTACCTGAACACGTACGATGGTCGTACAATCCGTTACCCTGACCCTCTCATCAAGCCTAATGACACCATTAAGCTCGATCTGGAGGAGAACAAGATCGTAGAGTTCATCAAGTTTGATGTTGGCAATGTTGTGATGGTGACTGGAGGTAGAAACAGAGGGCGTGTTGGTGTGATTAAGAACCGTGAAAAGCACAAGGGAAGCTTCGAGACGATCCACATTCAAGACTCAATAGGACACGAGTTTGCAACAAGGTTGGGGAATGTGTTTACTCTCGGCAAAGGAACAAAGCCGTGGGTGTCTCTTCCTAAGGGTAGAGGTATCAAGCTGACCATCATCGAGGAAGCTAGGAAGAGGCTCGCTGGACAACAGGCTGCTTAATTTTTGTTATCTCATGTCCTTTGTTATCGTTTTTAGACTCTTTATATTTCTTAAACTTGCTTTTGCATGTTTTGGTTCTCGAATCAGTTTTGAAACTTGATTTTATATCAAGAGTTAAAAACCTTCAAAAGATCCCCAGTTCTTTTGTCTTTGTCAAGTATTTAGTTATGCAGAATTTTGAGTTACAATTACTGATAATAATAAGTTGGATTGAGAGATATATTCTTATATGAAATCGTCATTGATATGCAATAACCAAAGCACCTTTGTCATTTGCATTGATGGTTTCTTCTTTTTACACTGAATAGAAAAAAACTGATTTAGTACAATACAACATAGAATAAGTTACATAACACAACATTGCTGAGCTAAACTGTCCAAAAGATACATTATACAAATCCACCCTGCAAGACTTCGCTAATGGCCATAAGCAGGTGGTTCGTCACAAAGATCTTACATGTGGAGGAGCTATCTCTGTGGTTCACCTTCATTTTCTTGCGGTGGATGTTCCTTTAAACAGCTCGTTGATACGGGCCTCTATATCCTCAACTCCATACTTGATATACCTGTCTGCGTTTTTACCTATGTCTCCAAGGTTCTGAAACCTTCCGATGAAGTTCCCGTACGCCGGCAACAACAGCCTCGCCAGCGAAATCTTCAGCTCCTCTCTCAGCTGCTCGTCAAACACAACCCACGTCGAGTGCGCTTTACACGTCTCATCGAACTGCGTATTGAAATGTTTCAGCTTCTCCTTCATGGTCTTCCCTAACCCGTTCATCCCCGCCGCTGTATTGTCCACCTTCAGCAACCCGAGCATCTTATTCCACGAGCTTCTCTGATAATTCATATGGTACTGTCTCACTTTCGCATTGTGTTTCCTAATCCAATCCTCTCCTAAGAGCATTCCCAAGTCCCCATCTTTCACTTTCTGAACAATGTATCTCCCATTGTTCATCAGAAACACAGAGCACAACGCTGGATCTTTATACACTTTAGATTTCACTTCTAAGTTACTCTCCAAAAGCTCCATGATCCAAGACATCTGTACAGTCAACAGAGTCGAGTCTTTAGAAGGAACGCCATTGCTTTCCTCAAACACTTGCTCTAACGTCTGCCGGGATCTGCAAGCCGCACGGAGGTAATTCATGACATAGCGGGTAATCGGGTGGAGCCCGCCGCCAGGAACCGCAGCTTTAGCCGGGTCTCGCCGGATCAGATTCTCAAGCTCCATGAAAATACCTCTAATCGCCTCTCCCAACCGTTTCCAAATCGTTACTGCTTCATTTCTAAGAACTAAGCAAAACTGATCCGAGAACACAGACTCGAATTCCGGCATCAGATCCCTCATCGTCTCGAAAACGTCGAGCACTTTGAACAATCTCTCCGGCGATCGGCTTCCTATGGCGATCGCGTCCGCGAAATTCAGGAGCTGTATGGTGGAGCCACGGCATACCTCCATGAACGAGAGATCAGCGGCGGAGGAGAAACCGAAGAAGACACGGTCGCAGAGTCGGCGCTCGCTGGGAAAGAGGATCCGGAGAGCGACGTTGGCTGCTTTGATCCACCGGTCGATCTCATCCTCTAGCTCCTGCCACGGCATCTTGTGAACCTCTTCGATACTCAGCTTCTGTAATCCAAGCCTGGACATGCTCTCTTCCAGAAACTCTCTCCTGCAAGCGCTGTAAACGTGAGAGCAGGCCTTACCAAATCCAGCTCCCAGCATCCGTTTAGCCATCTCGTGCAGATCGTTGATTGTCGCCGACGGGAGTGCGTCGATGATGAGGTCGTAGTCGGTAAGCGGCTGCGCCACTGGGATCTGGATATCGTCGCCGTTTTGGAAGTCTCTGTCGTAGTCATCTTCTTCTTCGTCGGAGTCGAAACGGTGGTTCATCGCTGCTGCGTCTCCCTGAGGATTGAGGCCGAACGACTCAGCGCCTCGCTCCATGAGCGACCTGAACTCTTCCTCGATGCGGAACATAGCCTGCTGCATCATTTCGTCGGCGCGTGCGAGGCAGACGCCGACGGGCTTCTCGGAGGCCATGGGACTCCACTCCCTAGTGATAGTGACTAGCTCATCGATGGTGTCGAGGAAGGCAGCGGAATCGGCGGGATCAGCCCAGATTGGCTGATCGGCGGCAACAAACCGGGAGATCTGACCGTCTAGTGAATTGAGAGCTCGGTCGAGTACAGCGACTCCAGATCCATCTTCTCCAGTTTGACCTTCGGCGAGCTTCTCGCGAGAGAACCTGCCGTCGAAGTTGGAAAAGATCTGCAGGATATCATCGGCCATGGATTCGTTATGGCCAAGCGTCTTAGCTATGTGACGCGCCACAGCGAGTAGCTTTTCTTCACCGTTCTCTGCCATTATTGAACTAGAGCTTGAATCAGTAGAGAGTTTTCTATAATTTCGAGTCACTGAATTAAAAAGGGGCACACGGCGAGATCGACGGGAAAAGCAAGGAATCAAAGACGAAGAAAGTTCCAAGCAAGGAAGAAGACTGGATGGAGAGAAACCTATTCTCAATGACGAAAACACCCTTTCAGACAGACGCGATCTTTGACCTGGCCGCGTTGATTGAAAATGGTTGTAATATCAGAGGCTTTATGCTGTCTTTTTGTGAAATCTTCGCTTTCGCTAATGTTGACGTCTCCGTGACTTTTCCCGTCATCACTGGTGGTGGTGTTGCTTCGAATTGCTTCTAACCGGGCAGGGGGTAAACCGGCCGGTTTGATGAAGTGAGATTGAGCTGACACACACATTATGGATTTCAACAGCTCACTCGATCAACACAATAAACGAAGTCGTTTTGAAGAGAGATCTAACTCTTGCTGTAATATGGAGGGGGATGCAGATCAGAGATGTTTCTGGAGAATCAATTTACAGCAACTAAAAAGATAAACAGAGAAGAAGGTTTACCAAACTCTATCAGATAGATACAACATAGAAAAAAGAAAAACAAGAAACTACACTTTTTGACACTCATTATTTGTTTATTCGCATTACGATTCTTTGCCAAACATGGAATTGGTATAATTATTGCCAAAGTGAACATCGTTCACTCCATTTGTACGTGTCTGTTAGCTGCTCTGCTTCTCTCTATCGTATTGGCTCGTCTCTTCTGCAACCTTTGCCCAGACGTTGCTAATTTTCTCTGCATATCCAACCTGCATCCACAACTCTTTTTTTCAACATTCTCGACTCTTTTCCTTTACTAGCAAATCTATGAATTCCTATTAGCTCTTTTCCGGCATTATTACTCAAAGCACTCATACCACTACCAGTGACTTGCCTATTATTTCCAACTTCTCCACTCTTTAAAGGTCACTAAGTATGGAAGCATACACTTTGTGCTTAACCTAAACAATCTCCTAACCATTTCTCACTCATTCTACACAGTAGACAGACAAATCAAGGAAAGGCTTCTTCCATCTAATGCTAACGTGCTGCATAAAATAACAATGTACCTGGTTAACAACAAAGCCCTTCATCATGTTCATGAAGTCTGCACGCCTTTCTCTGTCTAACCTCTCAACCTCAGATCGGTTGTTTTCCTGCAATGATAACAAATTAGTACCAACAACTTCATAGTTGCTACAGCAGCACAAGTTGTGATATGCATAGGGTTACTCCAGAATACCTTGATCCGCTCATACTCTCTGATGGCAACATTCTTTGCGTCCTCAGTAACCTTGATCGTTTCTTTTAACTCTTCTATTTTCCGGATTCTTGATTTGTCACCGCCAAATACCTTTGATGATGCAGCCTCTAGCTTTTCGGCTCTTGCCTGCAGCGAGGAGAGCTCTGATAAAAGTGTCTGAACCGTCAGTAAAGCACTAGATCTATCTGCAAATGCACCTTGAACTGCCATCATCATGCCAAGGTACTCATGGAGGGTGTCCTGACATAAACAGTTAAAAAAGCTCTTAGTGAATCTAAAAGTCCAGCATAATCTCCACATATAAACCGACAATATGTCAAGAGTCATTTGTTTAATAGCGAGGATACAATCTCATCATGGGGAGATTTAAGGAATCCTAAACTCAACTGCCTAAATTAAAGTTAATCATTGTTTCAGGAAGAGGAAAAGAGATCAACATTTCTATTGATTAACAGTAAAAAGGCAACTGTATATTTCTGTAGTTCAATAGATATTTACCAAATGTTTGACAGTCTGGGAATTCAACTCCCTATAAAACCTGCTTGCTTTTACACCCGCAGTGGCTAAATTCTTCATATCAGTAGCACGGGTTCTTTGTGAGTTGAAAATAGCTTCTTCGTTCTCGAACTTCGTCAGCTTAATAAATGTTAATCCTAATTCACCCATGGTTTCACCCATGTCTTGCTGTGCCTTCACAAGGGATTCTGCCTACAAAAATAATCCAAAAAGGCTTGTTCCAAACAGAGTACTAGAAACATAATGATGTATACATCAACTACCAAGAATGAAATTTTACCTGCTGCGAGGCATTGATGATTTGTTGCTCAAGATCATGCATCTTCTCCTTCTTTTCCAAGAACTCTTTATCTTCTTCAACAACGGGTGGTTTTGCTCCACCCCAGTCATTAGAAACTGACTGCCTCAGCTCCTTGAATAACCTCAGCAGATCCCTACCTCCTCTGGCAGGCTGGACCACCTCATGCACTGGGACTGCAGAGGCTCCGCCTTCCCCAAACAACTGTTTTGGAAGCTTCACCGCACCATCCAACATCCTAGAGGCCACATCGGTGGTCATTGGTAATGGCAACTTCCCTTGCACTTGAAGAAACACTTTCAACTCGTCGCTATTCCTGATAACAGGATGTGCACTGAGCCTGCGCAAGTATTTCTCCAATGCAACTCTCCTCTGCTCCACGAACTCTTGTTTCTGCATTACTTGGCTCTCCACGACGCTCTTATCTGGCCGCGGCGGTATGCAGAACCCTCGATACGACTCAGCCAATCGATCTGCCAATGTTACAACATCTCTGAATCTTCGTCGCACGCTGGATTCCGATGGGC